TGTGTGTGTGTGTGTGTGCGTGTGTGTGTGTGTGCGCGCGCGCGTTGTGTGTTGTTTTTTTAAAGAAGGCAAACACGTATCATCCTTAACTCTCCTCATTTTTTTCTGTGGTTGTCACTCTCTTCTTGTAAGACATCTAATCTTCAGCACTTACACGACCCCATTGTGTTGCAAGTGCCGCAAAACTCTTACTAAAACTAAAACTAGATAGGAAGAGCCATTCAAGTGGAGGTTGTTGACAAATGTAGGACAGCAGTCAAAGTGCAAAGGATTAGAGCAAGGTCAACAGAAGCAAGCCCCCAGCATAAAGCACTAGCACAGTTGAGAGCCCACTGGCAGTCGATCAGCGGTGCATGCACTGTCATACAGGCTAACACAAGCTTTCAAGTTTTAATCAGAGTTTTACGGCACTTGCAACACTATAAATAATATGGTTATATAAAAGCCGAAGATTAGATGTTTTACAAGATAGAAACACATATAAAAAAGAAGGAGTGATCAGGACGTTAGGTGTTTGATAGGAAAGAAGGATCAAACCACACCAGAGCACGGGCCAACTACAAGCTTTCTTCATTGTACTGTCTTTTCTACGGCTTCTACAAACCTCTACCTTAGAATCACAAAGTCCTATCTGACACTTTTGTCCGTTTTGAAGAGTTTCTAGGACGATGTGGTGGGAAACCAAATGTTCTATCAGCTCTACTATCAAAATCGTAAGATTATTCGAGGTCGTTATCAAGATATTCAAAGAATTGCATCCGAAAGAGCTTGACGTTTTGTGAAACTCAAAATTTTTACGTCAAACTTCTCAAAACTAGGTACTGAGCAGAGAGAACCTAGTAATTCTAGGGAAGTCAAATAGAGCCACTTACTGCCCGGTTAACGGGTGTCTGTGGTGTAACAGTTAGGTGCTTCATTGTCACACGCAGGAGACCCCAGTTCGATTCCCGAGAGGGAAGAAAAATTTAATCGAGTATCTCATTCTTTCTGCTAGGTGGGATGTTGTATCCCTCTCAGACTGAGCTCGGGTTGGCCCTGGCATGCTGGGCCAGAAGCCCGCCTTCAAACTGATCTAAACTGTGTCGATATGGGCATAAAGCACCTACATTTGTTGCTAAATTTATAGTTTATTAGCTGCTGCAAGTTATAGATCTACACTTGTCACCCAACATATCTGATGGATGTACGCTCCTTCCTACCCCCCCC